CGAGACCACGGTCTCTGGCAACCTGGCCCAGACGACGACGCTGCAGCTTAGCAATGTCCGTCAAATCCTCATGGTCACATTGCACTAACTTGCCACACTCGTACCACACATGCCCCAAGCCCGCGTTCACAGCGCCACGCCACGGACGACCTGCATAAGCTTGATACCCTTTATGATGCCGCATCATCGGCGCCAAGGGGGCTCCTGACCAAACCGCACGAACAGCACCTTGTTGGTTGGCCTCCAGCGCCAGCATGCCCTTCCGCATAGCCCGATGCCATAATACCTCAGAGCCAGTTGCTTCTAGGGCATGATCGATCATGCGGCTATGCTGCCACTGCCGCGCTCCATCCACCACCATGGCACGAACGTCCTTGCGCGGCGTAGTCAGCAACGATATGACCGCTCCCTCTTTAGACTTGAAATGCGTTTAGACTTGAAGTGCCAGGGATGGGCAGCTACTGGGAACCAATCTAGACCCCGTGTGCGCAACGCTTGGGCGAGGTACGCCACGCGTGCCGGGAGCGCCACGCGCGTCAGGTGCACCAGGGGTGCCCGCGCATGATCCAGATTTTGCCTCGAAGTGCAGTTTGCATTGTTTCGTGACCGAGGTGCTGGCCCTGTGCACAGCAGGCGATCTGCGGGCACCCCCGCCGTCCCTCCCAAAAAGCCATACAACGTGCTCCCGGCCCCCCGATCATGAATCAAGATTTTGACCCAAAGTGGCTTCACGTTTTTTCCCAACCATCCTTTGGTTGGGTTCTTGTTTTGAATAGATCAGTGGGTCTCCAAGACCTCCCGCCCCCCCCCTCTCTCTCCCCTCGCCTGCCTGCATGTGCCTGCGTGCGTGCCCCCTGCCTCGCTGTCCTGCTTGGGGGCTCGCTGGGGGGCTGCTACGTTGGGGGGCTGCTGGCGGGCAGCGCAGTGCGGGACATCGCAGATCCCGACGGAACCTCGCCATGCTTGGGGCGATGCGACATGTGAAACCATCTTCACGTTTGAGGGCTGCTGAGGGTGGGGACCAGCACAGTGCGGGATATCGCAGATCCAAACTTGACCTCGCCATCACAGGGGGTTGCGAAATGCGACACCGTCGCCAGCTTCGAGGGTTTCTGGGGGTGGCAGCACAGTGCGGCACATCGCAGATACAAGCGGGACCTCGCCATCCCTGGGGGCTGCGAAGCGTGAGCTTGTCTTCACTCTCGAGGGGCTGCTGGGGTGGGGCAGCGCCGTGCGGGACACCGCGGATCCACACGAGATCTCGCCAACCCTGGGAGGGTGCGAAGTTTGAACTTCTGGCCACTTTCGAGGGCTGCTGGGGGGGGGGTCAGCACAGTGCGGGACATCGCAGATCCAAACGACGGGACCTCGCCATATTGGGGGGCTGCGAAGTGTGAATTTGTCGCCACTTTCAAGGGCTGCGGGGGGTGGCGGAACAGTGCGGCACATCGCAGATACAAGCGGGATCTCGCCATCCCTGCGGGGGTTGCGAAGTTTGAATCTATTGCCCTTTTCGGGAGCTTCTTGGGGGGGGCAGCACAGTGCGGGGCATCGCAGATCCAAACGGGACCTCGCTTTCCTAGCGGGGGCTGCGAATTGTGAAACTGTCGTCACGTTCGGGGGCTGCTGGGCGGGGCAGCACAGTGCAGGACATCGCAGTCCCAACCGGGACCTCGCAATATTGGGGGGCTGCGAAGTGTGACATTGTCGTTGGTTTCGAGGGCTGCTGGGGAGGGCAGCACGGTGCGGGACATCGCAGATCCTAGCGGGGCCCCCCCATCCTTGGGGGGCTGCGCCGTGCGTAACTGTCACCACTTTCAAGGGCTGCGGGGGGCGGCAGCACAGTGCGGGATATCCCATGTTGCTGGGCTTTGGAAGCAGCCACCAACAAATGGGTTCCGAACCCCGGCGCGCATCGTTAGGCGCCCAATCCGTGAACCTTAAGCGCAGGCATAGGTATACAGATCCAAGGGAGGCGCTTGGAACTGATGGCGCAGCCACCTCCGATGTGGATCTGCGCAATAATTCCTGGACGAACAACTGGGATCGCGAGGGTTGGGAGCGAGGGCGCGAGCTGAAAGCGACGCAATATAGACAGGTGGCAGGGATACGGGGGGACGGGGAAGGTGGTCACGATGCGCGTGGCTGGTGAACGCTGGAGGGTGGCAGGTGGCAAAGAGGCGGTGACGAACGCTAGTGGTTTCGCTTGCATGTCGCCCGGGTTTCCAACGAGACGGCGAGGAGGGGGCGAGCGCGCACAGACCTACGATTGTGCAACACTGTGGCTACGGCCATGCACTCCTCTCCTCTGGGCACTCAGCCAGCCCTTTCATGACATCGGGATGCTGGCCTCCAGAGAACCCTTCCCAGGAGTCTCTGATCCCTGTGGAGGTGATTTCGCGGTTGCAATCCTCCTGGAGCCTCCTAAGAGTCCCCGATTCCAAGTGCGCTCCACAGGCATTGTAGATAAAGACCACCCCCAACAAGTAATTGGATATGTGGATGGTATGACTGCGGGGATTCGTTGCAAGCTGAGAGAAATCAGCGTTGTGGCCTGGGCAAGGCACGGTCGTCGGTGTAGGGAGGTCTGCACCTATAGCGAATGTGAGGCGGACTGCGCAAACCCATCGCGTGTGTTTCTAAGACCATTGGTTGCCTCGGACAGGCTGGGTCGGTTCCAGGCGGGCTGCTTTCCTGCGAGGCTGCCCTGGGTGTGGGTGTGGGGGGGGAGGGGGACGTGGAGGGCAGGTCTTTCCTCCTGACTGGGTTGATACGATGATGAGTATCGAGCGGCCGAATACGGTAATAGAGAACTTCTGGAGCATAGTGATAGCCTGACTGTACGAGTGTGGGTGATGAAGGGAGGGAGGAAGCGAGAACGGGGCCAGTGCCATCTCCCATTCTCTACTCATGTTGTTGTGTATCGCCCACCAGGGCGTAGGTAGCGTCTGCCCGTTCGCGAGCCAGCGACGCCCTTTCCTGGACAGCTGCGTTCGCATGTGCAACGTTGCGGGCATCGCTTCACAGCGCGTTGCGCATCTCGCCATGGCCTGAACGGGGCGTGGCCAAGCGCCGTCATCTGCAGAGATGCCAGCGCTGCAAGCGCCAGGGGGTAAGGCCCAGCGTCGCATTTGCAGCCACCGAGATGTACGGTGCCAGACGGGAGCCGAAGAGGGTCCTGAGGGTTCGGCTTGGGCTTGTGCGGGCTGGGTGAGGGGGAAGGAGAGAGGGGACGAAGAAGAGTACTCGTATTCTGGAGGTGTTGATCCAAGGGCGGCGCGGGTTCCAGGTTCCAGGCTCTAGGGCTGGCTAGGGGCGCTCTGCGGGCTGAGGGGGCGGAAGAGGAGGATGAGATTGAGCTTAGCGGAGGTCTGTGGAGATCCCCGCTGGAAGCCTCCATAGGTCTTCAGATGTTGGCTCGGAATATCTGGAGGGATGGGGAGGGGCAGCGAGGAAAACAATGAGGAGGAGGGAAGATAAGATGGAGGAGGAGGAGGAGGAGGAGGAGGAGGAGGAGGAGCAGGGGATGGGGATGAGGAGGAGCAGGAACAGGAAGAGGAGGAGAAGGATAATGTGGAGGATGAGAAGGAGGAGAAGGCGGATGACGAGGGGGAGGTGGAAGAAGGATGATGATGGGAGGAGGAAGTGGAGGAGGAGGAGGAGGCGGGGATGGGACGGAATGATGATGATGATGATGATGATGATGATGATGATGATGATGGTGATGATGATGATGCTGATGATGATGATGATGATGATGATGCTGATGATGATGATGATGACGATGATGATGATGATGATGATGATGATGATGATGATGATGATGATGGTGATGGTGATGGTGATGGTGATGTTGATGAGGTTGCTGATGATAATGCTATGATGCAGATGCTCATGTTGATGGCGATGCTGATGAGGAGGAGGAGGAGGAGGGGGATGATGATGATGATGATGCTGCTGATGACGATGACGAAGACGATGCTGGTGGTGGTGGTGGTGATGGCGATGGTGGTGATCACGATTTTGATGGTGTTGGTCATGACGATGCTGATGCTGATGTTGATGATGAGAATGATGCTGACGATGAAGATGATGATAATGATGGCGATGCTGATCATGGTGTTGCTGATAATGCTGATTATGGTGACGATGCTGATTATGGTGATGGTGATGGTGATGATGCTGATGATGATGCTGATGATGATGATGAGCACCATGCTGCTGATGATCATGCGTTTGATAATGATGAGGGCGATGATGATGATGATGATGACGATGACGACAACGACGACGATGATAAGGAGGATGGAGATGCTGGTGAAGCTGATGATGATACGGATTGTGATGATGAGGATGATGATGGTGATGATGACGATGGCGATGATGACGATGACGACGGCGATGTTGATGGTGATGCTGATAATGATGACGATGATGTGATGGTGCTGATGATGACGATGATGATGATGATCATGATGATGATGACCAGGCTGATGGTGATAATGATGCTGATGACGATGATGGTGGTGCTGGTGACGCTGCTGCTGTTGCTGCTGATGCTGATCGTGAGGTGATACTAATGATGATGCTGATGATGGTGATGAGTATGACGATGATGAGTGTGATAGTGATGAAGGTGATTGTTATGATGATGTTGGTGATGGTGATGGTGATGATGCTGATGATGATGTTAATGACGATGATGACGATGATGATGCTGATGATGATGACGATGATGGTGGTGATGATGGTGGTGGTGGTAGTAATGATAATGAGGAGGTTGGTGCCTGCGTTGGCGATGATGATGAGTATTCTGCTGCTGATCGTGTTGATGATGATGAGGATGATGAGGATGAGGATGAGGATCGTGACGACTATCGCGAGGAGGAGATGGAGGATGTGGAGGGGGAAGCGGAGGAGGGGGAGGAGGAAGCGGAGGCGGACGAGGAGGTGCAGGAGGAGGGAGGAGGGATGAGAATAAGGAGGGGGGTGTTCCCGCGAGGCCTTCGCCCGCTGCATCCAGAGGACCTTCGGCCACAGGGTCAGGATGCTTCGGCGTGGGCTTTCCACGGACTGGCGCCTCGCCCCCTGGCTTTGTACTCATACTCAGCCGCGTCGTCTTCCCCTCATCCCTCCTCGTCCTCCCCTCCTCGTTCTCCTTCCTCCTCTCCTCGTCCTCCCATGCTCCTCCCCTCTTCTCTCCCTCCTCCGCCCAGCTCCTCTGGGGATCTCTGGGAATTTCCGCGGGGCCCCCGCGGGGCCTCGGGAGACCTCCCTCCCAAGTCCTCAGTCCTCGTCTTTCTCCTTTCCCTCCTCTTCCTCCTCTTCCTGCTTCTTTTCCTTTTCCTCCTCCTCTTCCTCCTCCTCTTTTCCTCCTCTTCCTCCTCCTTGTCCTCCTCTTTTCCTTTCCTCCTCTTCCTCCTCCTTTTCCTCCTTTTCCGCCTTTTCCTCCTTTTCCTCCTCTTCCTGCTCCCGTCTCCCGACGGCCCAAACCCGACAGCCCAAGCCTGTCAGCCGCTGCGGTGTTCCCGCCGCTTTGTCTGGTAATTGCCGTTCGTCAATGCACTGGCGTTGGACGATTGCCGCTCGTCAATGAGAGCAGGTGGAAGTGCGAGTTCGCGAACCAAGGAGGATTTGGGACGCTTCTGGCTCTCTTTACGTAGGCTTCTGGAGACCTCTGGAGACCTCATTCTCACGGACTGGGGAGGTACAGTGATCCAGTCGAACGGGATTGGGGATTTCATGTTGATTTGTTCACTGACCTCGCCGAGATGCAAGATCGCTATACATCAACTTTCGACTTGGGAACTTCACTTCTCGTATGTTTCCGTTCGAACGGTTTTGTCCTGGAGTGTTCCCGTGTCTCCCGGCCAGTGCTGGGGGGCACGACTGTGGTAAGAGCGAATGTCGCCCGAGGGACCCACGCGTCGAGACACTGGCAACGTGTTGAGGTGGTTCGGCCCGTTTCGCGTGCGACATCGTGGCAAGTCTGCGTTCCGAGACGACCAGATTTGACATGGTCTGGCCCGCTTCGCTTGAGACATCTTCGCAATTCTGGGCTCCCAGAGGCTACGCGAGAAGTGGTCTGGCCCACATCGCCTGAAACATTCTCAAGCTTTTGGGTTCGGGGATACCGTGACCTGAGGTTGCCGCGTCCGTTTCGCTTGAGGCATCGTCGCTACGCTAGACTTGAAGATGCCGCCCGCGAGGTGGTCTGGTCAGTTTGGCCTGAGCAGTCCCCGCAACTCTTGGCACATAATGCCGCGTGCGAGGGGGTCCAGCCAGTTTCGCATGGGATGTCCTCGCAATTCCGAGCAACCGTTGGGGACTGCGAAGCGAAGAAGCAGTGGGAGGAGAAGGAGTAGCAGGATGACTGAGGACGACGGGGAGGGAGGATAATGTTCGTATTGCTGTCAGACAAGTACTCTTGTTTTCAATGCTCTCGGGGCACTTCTCGTCGCAAAGGCTAGACGCGGCTCGATCGTGCCTGGTGACGCGGGCTGGTGCTCCGCCGACGAAGGGTGTGTCACGGGCCCGTTCGCGCACAGATTGTGGGGATGTCTCGAACTGTTCGTTTGGTTTACGTGCTGGAGTTGTTTTTCGGAGCCGTACGGTCCTCGCTGGCCATTTCGGTTGGCTTTGGGGTTGTTTTAGGCCCCATCCGGTGCTTGCCTTGGCTGGCGGCGGGGGGGGGCAGTGCACCTGAGCCCTGGTACCCAGGTCGCCTGGGACAGCTCCAGGCCACCCTGGCAACCCCAACACTGGTGCAGGGGAGGGGCCAGGAAGGGGTTGCCCTCAAATGAGCTGCGGAACCTCGGGCGCCGAGATCTCCTGACTTGGATTGCTCTGGCTCGTTTCGCTTGAGACGTCTTCGCATCTCTGGATTCCAAGATGTGGTTCGCGAGGTACTCAGGCCCCTTTCGCCTGAGGCATCCTGCGAACCCCGGGCTTTTGCGAGATGCCCTGAATTGAGGTGCTCTGGCCCGTTTCGCTTGAGACCTTTTCACAACTCTGGGTTCCAAGATGTGGCTCGCGACATGCTCAGAAGGAATCCTTGGTTCTGACCGATTGGCCTGAGACGTACTCGCAGCTCTGGGTTGAAGATGCGGTTGGCGAGGTGCTCAGGCCCGTTTCGCTTGAGACATCCTCGGGATCCTGGGTTCCGAGATGCCCTGACTTGAGATTCTCAGTCCCGTTTCACCTGAGACATCTTCATTACGTTGTTCGCCTGGGACATCCTCTGTACCCCAGATTTCGAGATGCCCTGAATTGAGGTGCTCTGGCCCGTCTCGCTTGAAACTTTCTCACAATTCCGGGTTCCAAGGTGTGGTTCGCAAGGCACTCAGGCCCGTTTCGCCTGAGACATCCTCGGCATCTCTGGTTCTGACCGATTGGCCTCAGACGTCCTTGCAATCCTGGGTTCAAGATGCGGTTCGCGAGGTGCTCAGGCCCGTTTGTCTTGAGACATCCTCTGAACCCCAGACTGCGAGGTGCCTTGACATGAGGTGCTCTGGCCCGCTGGGCTTGAAGCATCCTCGCAACTCACACCTCTGGGTTCCAAGATGCGGTTCGCGAGGTGATCAGGCCCGTTTCGCTCGAGACATCCCTTGGTCTCAAGATGTGGTTCGCGAAGTACTCAGGCCCGTTTCGCCTGAGTCATCCTGCGAACCCTGGGCTACTGCGAGATGCCCTGAATTGAGGTGCTCTGGCCCGTTTCGCCGGAGACGTTCTCACAACTCTGGGTCCCAAGACATGGTCCGCGATGTGTTCAGGCACGTTTCGCTTTAGGCATCCTCGGAATCCCTGGCTCCGAGATGCCCTGACTCGAGGTGACCCAGGTGTAAGTGCACCACGCTTGAAGGCGACATTGACAGAGTTGTCGCTGGGGTTGCCCCCAGTGCCAGGGGAAGACGGGGACCAATGGAGCGCGACAGAACAAACTAGAAGTCGCCACTTGTAAGTCGTGAGCACGTGTCGGTCGAGGCAAATCCGGTGTTCAAGGGGTGATTTAGAGTCGTCATACAAAGCGGCAACATCATCATGCAGGCATTCAGTCGTGGGCGTGTGTGTGGCTTGCGGCCGAGTGTCCTTGGCTGCCTCCCCGGGCGAGCATTCCTCGTCCGCCTCTGGGCTTCTTGTAAGGAGCACGTCACGAGTGCCCCATGCGCCGAAGGACGCCCGGCCCCCCCTGCCTCCCCCGCTCCCGCCCTCTCCCTTTCCTCCTCCTCCTCTCCTCCTCCTCCCCCCTCCTCCTCCTCCTCCTCCTCCTCCTCCTCCTCCTCCTCCTCCTCCTCCTCTCCGTCCGTCCCTCCCTCCAGTCCTCCCGTCATCGTCCCTTTTGCCTCCTCCTTCCCTTGTTTTTCCTTGGCCCCCGCCGCGCTCCCAGGTGTAATAACTTTCTCCCGCTCCGCGGCCCCTCAGGGTTTTCCTATTCATCCTGAGGCGTGTTCGACTCGGACGCGCTCTCAGTGGCCTTCATCCCTCATCCCTCCCCCTCCCGCCGTCGTAATCCCGCTCCTCGCCACCAGCCAGCAGGACGGGTGCCCCTACAGCTTCGACCTCAAGATGATGAGCCGAATGTGCTCCAGGCGCCACCGCCGCCGCATACGTCGAAGCCGAAGGCCAAGACGACAGCGACGATGTGGAAGGCGGCGGCGACTACAATAATGACGATTTCCACGACTCCATCGTCGCTCCCCTCCTCACTCTCTCCGCCTCGTCGTCCTCCTCTCCTGCCCCCGCCTTCGTGCGTTCGATCATTCGTTCGTTGTTGTCGTCGTCGTCGTTGTCGTCATCGTCGTTGTTGTCCTCATCCACCTCGACCTCCTCCTCGACCTCCTCCTCCTCCTCCTCCTCCTCTCGCCACCCTCCCTTCCGTCCTTCTCTTCTCTTCCCGATTCCTCCTCCTCCTCCTCCTCCTCCTCCTCCTCTCGCCACCCTCCCTTCCGTCCTTCTCTCCTCTTCCCGCCTCCTCCTCCTCCTCCTCCGTAGCCATTTTGGCTCAAGCAATTTCGTTCAGGCCGGCGCGTGTTGGGCTCGAGTCCGCACCTCGATCACCTCCCAGCGCCCGCCCGCCATGAATCGTGCACTCTTCGTGGCCAGCTCCGCCACCCTGGCCCAAGGGAAGATTTACTTTTCGGAGACCTTCGGCGACGGCTGGGAGAGCCGCTGGACGGTGAGCAAGTGGAAGGAGAGCGAGGGCACGGCGGGGAAGTGGGAGGCCACCGCAGGCAAGTGGTTCAAGGACGAGGCCGAAGACAAGGGCATCCAGACGGCCGAGGACTCCAGATTCTTTGGGATCGCTACCTCCTTCCCGTCCTTCAGCAACGAGGGCAAGGATCTAATTATCCAGTACCAGGCCAAGTACGAGAAGGACGTGGAGTGCGGCGGCGGGTACATGAAGATTGGGCCCAAACTCGACGACCTGACCACGTTCGGCGACCCGACGCCGTACAACGTCATGTTCGGGCCGGACAAGTGCGGGTACACCAAGAGGACACATCTCATCTTCAATTACAAGGGTACCAACGTGCTCAAGAAGTCCGACCTGTCTTACAAGCAGGGCGAGGACGCTGGCATCTCCCACCTGTACCGCATGGTTCTCAAGCCGGACAATACCGTCCGCGTTGAGATCGACGAGGAGAAGATCTATGAGGGATCCATCAAGGAGGACTGGGAGGTCCTGAAGCCGAAGGAGATCCCGGACCCCGATGACAAGAAGCCAGAGGATTGGGTGGACAGCTCCATGATGGACGATCCCGAGGACAAGAAGCCGGACGACTGGGTGGAGGAGAAGCGCATCGTGGACGAGTCGGCGTCGAAGCCGGACGATTGGGACGACGAGGAGGACGGCGAGTGGGAGGCCCCCATGAAGGACAATCCCGCGTACAAGGGTGATTGGAGCGTCAAAAGGATCGAGAACCCGGCTTACAAGGGGATCTGGGAGGCCAAGAAGATCGCCAACCCTGAGTACGTCGATGATGACAAGGTCTATTCGTACGCTGATTTTGGTTTCTTGGGATTTGACCTGTGGCAGGTCAAGGGTGGCACAATTTTCGACAATATCATCTTGTGCGATGATGTGGCCGAGGCCGATACGTTCGCCAAGAAGTGGAAGGCTCTGAACGAGGTCGAGTCGGCCAAGAAGAAGGAGGAGGACGATGCCAAGAAGGCCGAGAGCGCGGACGCCGCCGAGGGCGACGACGACGATGACGCCGACGACGACAAGGCGGAGGCAGAGGAGATGTAGTCGCTCCGCAGCGCTGCCGCCGAGGCATTTCGTCGACGATGCTCGTTTGCGGATTTTCCAGCCTGTCAGGTGCTGCACACAGTAGCTGAACTTTTGTCATTGTTGCTTGTCCTGTGCAATATCTGTTCAGGACTGTGCTGCTGCTTCTGTGCAGCAGGTGGTGAGAAACCTGTCGGCGCCTGAGGTAGCCGATGTTGACTCCTCCTTCGCCTCCTCCTCCTTCTCCTCCCCTCCTCCTGATTCCTCTCTCCCATCCTCCCTCTTCCAAGCCATCCCCTGCTCTCTCCGTCCTTCTCCTACATCCTCCTCCGCCCTCCTTCTCACGGCCTATTTTTTCCCCTGCTCCCCGTCCTCCTGCTTGCCTTCCCTGCCACGTTCAGTGCAGTGCAAACACACGCACAGCAGCACAGCACCAGAAAACAGCATCATCAGCAGCAGCATCATCTTCAGCATCATCACCATCATCGTCGTCATGATCAGCAGCACTACCACCACCGTAACCCCTTGCGGGCGATAATAAAGTACCCTCCATTAATCCCCTCTATCTTTTTACCCCCGTCCAGCAGGATTTAATTGTGGAGATAGGCGAGGAGGCCGAACTTTCTAATCCACAGGGGAAGTTGCGAATCGAAGTTGCTATCATCTCATGTTGACGAGCAACAGCACCAAAAACGCTGAGCATGGCCATGGTAAGTTGTATAGCCACGAGCCTCGAGATCTTTCGAGTCAGCCTTGTGCCGAGCGCCTGCTGGCAAGTTGTATAGCCACGAGCCTCGAAATCTCCCGAGTCAGCCTTGTGCCGAGCGCCCAGGATCACCATCATCATCATCATCATCATCATCATCATCATCATCATCATCATCATCATCATCATCATCATCGTCACCGTCGTCATCATCATCATCATCATTCTCATCCCCGGGACTTTCAATATCCCCGCCAGAACCCCGAACTTTATTATCCCCGGGGTACTATTACCGCCCGCACTGGGTTATTGTCATCATAAGCATCGTCACCATCAAAAACAGATTTTCATCATAGTCAACATCGTCCTCATCATCATCATCATCATCATCATCATCATCATCATCATCATCATCGTCAGCACCATAAACGACAGCATCGCCGCCACCATCATCATCATCGCTACCATCACCAGTTTCCACAGCATCATCATCAGCACCACCACCGTCACCACTACCATCACCATCATTATCACCATCAGTAACATCATTACCATCACCAGCATCACGAGTATCATCATCATGATTGCCATCACCACCACCATCACTACCACCACCATCATCATCATCATCATCATCATCATCATCATCAATAGTATCAGCGTCATCACCATCATCATCATCATCATCATCATCATCATCATCATCATCATCATCATCATCATAATCTTCATCATCCTCGTCACCATCAATCACGGCCATCATCATCATCATCACCACCAGCATCCTCACTACCATCACCATCGTCATCATCGCCATCATCATCAGCATCGTCATCATCATCATCATCATGAGCTTCATCTTCATCTGTATCATCATCACCATCGTTACCAAAATCGTTATCATTATCATTATCATTACCATTACCATAATCATAATCATCACCATCATCATCATCATCAGCATCAGCATCATCCCCCTATCACAGGGTGCGCTCAGAGGGATGGAAGGCTGAGGCCGCACTGGCCAGCTGGAAGGGCCTTGGCCTTTCACCCGACCTTTCGCTGCCAGTCGGCCACGCCTCTAGGTGGCGTCTCGCCGGAGTGACCTCCTGTGGCGGGCCCACACGAGGTGTTCCAGAGAGGGCCCCGCCTTTGAGGAGCGAAGGGGTGAGCACCTCTTCCCCGACGGAAGGCGGCGGAAGGTCGGCGGACGGCGGCGGAAGTAGGGAGTGGGGGGCGCGGTTCCGCTGGTGGAAGCTCGGCGGAAGCTTGGCGGATGGCGGCGGAAATGAGAGAAAAGTCCCCGAAGGATGGCAGTTTCTGTTGGTCGAGGATTTCTGGAACGAGCCGCGTGGCTGGTGCGCTCGGACTTGGCTCCTCTGCGGCACCCGAAGTCCGCGCACCAGAGGGTCAGTTCTGCCCGTAGGGTCACACCTGCGCGTAGCCGATGGGGTTGCTCCCCCTTCTGCGTTGCGCAGACACCGGCGGGGTGGCCGCTGCGTCTTTGCTGCTTCCCTATCCCCCCTCTCGCCCCTCCTCCTGCTCCCCGCATGCTCCTGCTCCTGCTCCTCCCCCCCCCCGCTCGTCAGCCAGCTCCCGCCTCCTCCCCTGGCCCTGCATCGTCGCATCGTCGGCCCCATTCGAGGCTTCTTCCACGGCCGGGCCCTCCCCTCCTGCCTCCTCCGCCTTGGGGAGGAGGAGGAGGAGGAGGGGGAGGGGGAGGAGGAGGAGGAGGAGGAGGAGGAGGAGGAGGAGGAGGAGGAGGAGGAGGAGGAGGAGGAGGAGGAGGAAAAGGAGGGGAGCAAGATTTTCACGCCGGAGGCTCTTCGTCATTTTCAGCATTCAGGGGCGGCTTTCGCGCCCAAGGGGACTGTCAATAAACGGCCCGGATGAGAAACCCGTCCCGGGGAAGATTCCCGGGGCTGGTGCCGCGAGCAATTCGACTCGTCGGAGGTGTCGTGAGGGGGGGTGTTCTCTTCGCGGTCGGCTTGGTTCGCTTCGACATGCTGGTCAGAACGCGCTCTAGGACAGGTATCGGGGCCAGTTTTGAAGAGGAGGAGGCCGATGGTGAGAGGGTGAGGAGGAGGAGGAGGAGGAGGAGGAGGAGGAGGAGGAGCAGGAGCAGGAGCAGGAGCAGGAGGAGGAGGAGGATGGTTAGGAGAAGAGGGAGGAGGGCCTCCTTCCGCTCGGGCCCGTGCCTTCTCCTCCATTTCGCGTCCGTGCCACTCCTTCCAGTCGTGTATCAATCCTCCACGCCGAGCCCCCGTGCCCGCTTCCCGCCCAAGAGCATGCCAGGTGTGGGGTGCAAGTCGACACCCGCTGCCTTTTCCGCGCCCTCGACGCAGATGGCGATGGGAGCGTGTCTCTGGAGGACAGCGCGGCGTTTCCGCGCGCCCGATGTCGCCTACTTCTGACGGAGCCAGTTGGGCTCAAGTCCGTCGACATTTTGGTGGTTCAAGTCTGTACCTACTCTGAGTCGAGATTCGCAAATCTATTTCGATTCCAGCTGGTGCTTGATCAGACCAGGCACAACGCTTCCTTCCCCTGTCGTTTGACTACACGCAAGAGTGACCCCTCGCCGGAGTGGCCTTTGGTGCGGGCCCATTGGGAATCCCCGATCGCCGAAGGCGATGCGATAGTAGCGTCTTGGTCTTGCGCGCTTGTGTTAGGCCCCCCCCCGCGGCCCCCCAAACCGCGCACCAAAGGTCGCTCTTACCCAGGGTCGCTCCTTGCGTGTAGCCGAGCGGTGCTTCCCATGGGGATGCGAGGATTCTGCACATTGGCGTTGTGCAACCACTGCTGGTCGTGCAGACATCCAGCTGCGTCGTGCAGACATCCAGCTGGTCGTGCAGACATCCAGCGGCGTTCAGCCTGTTGCTGTGTAGTGCGGGGCCCCTCCTGGGCCTCGTGCCAGGGGGAGGGGGGGTCCATCAGGTTTTCCGTGTTAGATATGGATACGATCGGACCGAGGTATAAGATCGAGGTCGGCTCGGGGAGGGTACCCTAAGGTTCTTCGTGTATATTGGATGTTATTGTGAATCCTGGGGGAGGGCACCCTCGAATGTTCTTCAGTTTGGGCCAGCGGAGGGCCTCCTGTTCTTGAAGGATGTTCTTCTGTCCTAGGTTCGACTGTATGCCCCGCCCGCAGGGGCGGGGAGGTATCCAGTCCAAGGCTCTGCGAGCTCCTGGGGGGCACGTCTCCAAATCGGTGGATCTGGACCAATCCCCGGCGTGGAGGATTCTCAGCGCTGGCGCCCTTGGCGTCTACCAAGTCCCCAGTGCGTCCCCCCAACTGGCGACGGCGGCACGACTGCGGTAGCCACAGCCGCAGCTTCGTTGAAGCGCCCAGCTTCAATCTCTCCTGTGTGTAAGGACCTACAGGCTGCTGGCGTTCGGGATGTATAACGAAGGCGCCACGCGGCTTGATGGGCGGCAAGCAAGGGTTCTCCAGCGCCGCGTCGCGCAGTTGATTGACGCGAAGTTCCTGGATCCCCGGATGATGATCGAGACCATGGCCCAAGGCGAATTTGCGAAGCATGGGCTCCGTTGGCCCCCTCCTGCCCCCCGTGGCCTTCGCTCTGTCCCGCTCTGAAGTTGTGATGGTGGTGACGACGACGACCACGACGACGGTGGTGGTGGTGGTGTCGTGGTGGTCGTGGTGGTGGTGGTCGTGGTGGTGGTGGTCGTGGTGGTCGTGGTGGTGGTAGTGGTGGTGGTGGTCGTGGTCATGGTGGTGAAGTGGTGGTGGTCATGGTCGTCGTGGTTCGTGGTAGTGAAGTGGTCGTGGTGGTGGTTGTGACGACGACGACGACGATCACGACGACGACGACGAGGACGATGAGGATGATGATGATGATGATGATGATGATGATGATGATGATGATGATGATGGTGATGGTGATGGTGATGGTGATGATGATGATGATGATGATGATCATGGTCATGATCATGATCATGATCATGATCATGAAGATGAAGATGATGATGATGATGATGATGATGATGATGATGATGATGATGATGATGATGATGATGATGATGATGATGATGATGATGATGATGATGA